ACAATTCTCAGCGTTGCCATACTATGTATATATATTTATACTTAACAGTACACCTTGCAGAGCGATTATCATCTCCATCCAGAGTCTGGAACATGACACCTTCAAAAGTGCTTAATTTGATTAATAGCCTTAGGTTCGAGTGACTAGAGGAAAGCGCAGTTACACACGGACGTAAAAATGGAGAACGTGTCAGCTGACACGATCTATCTTATGGGATCAGCGTGTTAACAACAACTCACCACCGCATTACCGTGATGTAGACGTTGATTCTATCTCTTTCAGCAAACTTGATTAAAAAAAATAAAAATAATAATAATATTATATAGAAATTGTTTGAAATGCAATGGATCCGAATGATCTTTAAAAAAATCTCACCAAGATCAGTACGCTTTACGAAGGAATCAGCAATCGAAAAGGATCCCTGTGGGCAATGTTGTCAGCAGGAATACGAAAGAGAAGATATCCATTCCAGCGATGTCGAGAAGACGTTTCGATATTCTGATATGAAATAACGACGTTCCAACCAGTACTTGCAGCAGACCACATAATTAAAAAAATACTTTTACCAAAATTGATTTCTTGGCTTCGTAAAACTTACCGAGAGCGCTTTTAAGACCTTTTCCGCACTAAAGGACTTACTGGGAAACGAGCGTGACTACTTACGCCTGGAGAATCGCAGGAATCCCTGTATCGCAGATCCTATGTTGGGAAATTGACAAAAGCGTTGCAAGTGGTTCTGAACTCCTGCAAATTCAGCCCTGGACAGGCCCAATTGTCAAAACCAAACCAGACCAAACTGTCAAAAACGGATGCGCTGCTTATTTAGGGAAGGCAAAAGCCATTGATTACTATGGAAAATGTATGCTAATACTGAAACTTTGACGTCCAATTGGGACAGCCAAACTCACCAAGGTCTTCAATTTGTAAATGTGCCATTTCAGCATTTGTGACATGCAGAAGTCTGGCAGAGTTGTCTTGCTATCGAAACCTGGAAAACCTTCCTAAGAAAGACAGGCCTTATCATCCAATCACCCATTTTTCCTCAGCAGTGAAGACGTAAGGGATTGCTACTCCCTTATTGCTCGCGGACCATTTGAACCCTGTAAATACCACTAGAAACACCCATGAATCTGGCGGCTTTAATCGTTGTCGCGGTTGAGAGTGAAAGGTCCTAAGGATGTTAAACTTATTGAAGGCTTTCGATACTACGCGCCGTACAATTTTACTGGAAGAGATCGAGCCAGCGGAAGTGTTAAGACGAATCACTGTGCAGCCAGACTGGCACCAAAGAGCTTTTTTCACTCACATCCACTCTAAGGATAAATGGATGAGAGGCAGTAGTTGGAGGGGGCAGAAGATGGATGAGTCGAACATTCACAGATTAATGACCTGTGCTCAAAAGTTAACAATTATCTCTTGGACTTTTCTGCTTCCACAAACAGACATCAGAAGGAATAAGACTATGGGGTTTCACGTGATTAGCCAAGGTCCTGAAAAATAATAACCTAGCCATCGCAACCACTATGTCTGCCAGGTCCTCCTTTTTCTCAACGTTTACTTTACAACTACCTTAAGTTTCTACTATCATAATTCCTAGCAGACACACATTTTGACACATATTTTTTTACGGATGTTTGCCAATAGATAAAAAAATCTACTAAGGTACTTTGTGCCGTCGATTCTCATTATCTTTCTCCCCTTCGGCAATATAGTCGCATTCACTAAAAACTGTTCAGAAGGTAGTAAAAAGTGTGTCACTTACATTACAGTTCGGGCGAAAGAGCACAAACAATGGAATAATAGAAACAAATGATTGACAAGTGCAGAGAATGAAACTTGAAAAAAAGCGTAAAGATGAAAAGCAGAAAGGTAAACTATAAAAGGAATAAAAGTGAAAAAAAAGAAAATTGTGTGTACAGATAAAAGAAATGAAAAGAAAAAAACGCACACAAAAACAAAAACTTGGCAAAGGCAAAAGGAAAGCGAGCATCAACAGTGTTTTCATCTGCCTGCTTGCCTGCCTAGATGGCTGCCTGCCTGCAAACAACGTCATACATCCATGCGTGCGTCCGTCCGTTCATCCATCCGCCCATTCGGCGTTGTCACTGCCATTGATTTTTCTTGCGGGAATTGTCAGTACTGTCTCTGTGCCAACTTCAGTGGACTTGTAGCTGCTGTTGTCACTTTATTGCTTTGCCAAACGTTAGGCCGCCTAGTCTCAGTGGCTGGTTGGCTCTGCCTTTACCAGCCGTTCGATGCGGCGGTGCCTTGCCCTGTCTGCTGGCTTCTTCGAGCTTTGCTTCTATTTTTTGTTTTCTTTACCGTTACAACTGGAATTCATGCTAATGCTGCTCCGTCGCTGAGTCAAAGTTTTACTCAAATGTTGGCTGGAAATGGTGCGAATGTTGCCACCCTTTCACTATTGGCCTATCGTTTTTCGCAGCGATTTGTTTTTTGCTGCCTTTTGGCTGCTTTTTGTGGAGTTTTTTTTTGTTTTTTATATATTAGGGTAATGTAAATAATGTTGACAATAACGGTGATGTTGCTTAGTCAACAATTTTGCATCGCTTTGGGACGCTGCCGAGTTGCTGAGGTGTTTAAAATTTGTCGATTTAGTTAATTATTTTCAAATGGTAAGCCATGGGAGTTGACGTAACAAAGCAGAGGAGGAAGATAAGAAAAAATCATTTTAATTTTAAAAATGTTCTAATTTTTTGAGTGATTTTAGTTTACTTGTTTTTATTGAAAAATTTCTTTCGAGGAAAATAAATGTATAGAAATTCAAAAAAGCATTTAAATTTTATGTCTTCACGGATTTCAAATGTGTTTAACTTAAAATTAATTTTTTTTTTTATATCAAATGATGTTGAAATTATAAATACGCCTGAAATAAGAAAAATAAAATTTTTATAAACATTAATTTACAAATTTTGTATTTAAAAGTATTTGGCATGTAAAATTTGCCCCAAGAAATAAAAAAAATTTAACCTTAAGTTTTCCCCAATAGAATTTTATTAAAAAATTAGTGATTAATAAAAAATATTTTTCGGTTGCTTTAGAATTTGCCAAGTTCAAAATAAAGTATGTATTTTAATTTTGTTTTCATATATTTTATTGTATTATATTTTATTTCATTTTATGTTATTTAATTTTTTGCTAATTGTTGTGATTTTTTATGAATATTAAAGTATTTAGGTTCATCGATGCCTAAGAAAATTTAGAATTCGGTTTTGCAAAATTTTAAATATTTTGAAAAAAAGCATTTACTTTTATTTTATTTTACATATTTTTTTATTAGATGTTCTTTTTATACAATTTTTTATGAATATTAAATGATGTAAATATATAGGTTCTTAAAAAAATTTAGAATTTCCAAAACAATAAAAATAAAAAAGTAAAACTCCAGTAGTTCGTATAAAAAATTTACACATGTTTTTTTATGCTTTTTGGCAATATATTTGAAGGTCATGAGCAAAATTAGACCATTTTTTTTATATCAAATCTTTTTCTTTTACTTTTAACAATTTTCAAAAAAAAAAAAAACTTTTGCTCGTTAATCTTTTTTAGAAGCATCTGCACATGTAAGTATGGAAATTTCATGTGTTTTAAATGAATAAAATTCTCTTAAATTCTGATAAATTTTTATTTACCACTGTTCTCGTTTTTTTTTTTTGCAAATTTTACACCCGAAATCTCACTATCAAAGCTAGCTGCCGGGTAATTGTCCTTGTAATGCCTTATCTCGAAAAACTAGCCTCTCCCTCAAAACAACAACTTGAATGTCTGCGCTATTTCCTAGCAAGTAAAATCAACCTTGAAAACGCCCGCCATTGTCGTTGTTTGGCTGTGCTTGCCCTTTCCTGTTACCATGACTACATGCATACATACATATGTACATACCTACGATTATTCAATCTTGTTGTTGTCTTCTGATGTTTATTGTTGTTGGCATTGCAATTATTTGCATTTGGCATAACAAGACTCCAACGCTTATCGCCACTGTTATATAAATACCTACATTTGGGAATTTGCCGGCACTTCCGGTCGCGTCGCTTGTTTCTCGCTCCTTTTTTACTTTTGTTGTGCCTAGAAAAACTCCTTTTGGTCTGTCTGGGTTCTTACAACTTTGTCCGCTACTTCCTTGCTGCTTCGCCGTTACTTGCAACGTCAACACCCATTTTAACTGTTTTTCATTATTGCCATTATTTGTAAGACATTGCCAGCCGGCTAACTCTTCTCTTTCCCTATCTTTTTCTCTCTGTCGCGTGGGGCAC